ACGGAGGGTATTGATGGACCAACACTTGCGTGGATCAGGGAGTGGCCGCCACGTTGCAGGGAGTGGGCGCCACGCTGACCCTTCAATATGGTCATACTTCGAGGCTACAAGCTCTTGCCATATCTCCAATACGGTCTTCGTCTGACGTAGAGAATACAAAATTCAGCACTAGTTGGCGCTGAGTGAAGCCATGGAGCCTCGAACCGTACCTTACCTCAGTCATGGAGATCATGTCTACCGAATCTGAATCGATCAGCTTGGCGTGCGCAAAGTCCTCAAGCTGACAATGACCAACTTGGCATCGATACGGCTACTACTGATGGATGAGAAGCTGCGAAGATCTTGAATGTGTTCGTTTTAGCGGTCTATATTGTGTGTAAATATGAGTGACGATCTGCTACAGTTCACAGCAACATCAGAACAACCTGTTATTGCTGCCCCTGCGAGCTCACAATCGGCTGTTGCTCCTCCTCCTCCCCCTCCATCATCATCTCCCCCCTCTACTCCGGTATCCCACTCTCCCTACTGTATGAACATCATGCGTCTATCATCAGGTATTATCTACCGCATCACCAGTAGCGTCATCAGCATCAGCAGCAGTGGCTCCATCACCTAAAGCCTATGATGGTGCTGCAACTGGTGTTGATCTTGTCCAGTCCCCTACAGAGGACCTTCCCACTACGATAAATGGATCAGATAAAGAGAGAGTGATAATCACGGGGCGGTATTCTCTACCCTTAGTCTCAGCTGTTCCATCCAACCGGAGCCTCGGGACCAGAATTCCTTCTTCGACATCCGTGATGGTCTTTCTGTCTTTCAGTGTTCATCTGTCGATAGTTATACCGAGTTGTCTAGGAGTGAGGAAGAGAAGAAAACATCCTTACGTGCCAAGGCACAAGAGAACATCAAGTGCTAAGGCGCCTGGCTATTGAAGTTGTTAGAAGGATAGCCTCTACTTCGGTTAGGTCATTTTATACTAATCGAGCGGCGAAGATAGAAGAGAACAGAAAGGATCAACTCCAGGCTGAGAAGGAGTTCATTGATCGCATGAATCAGATGGATACCACCGCTACTGCTTCCAAGTAGGGATTCTCCTTATTAGTGTGGTATCAATGTGCCTTATCAACCGCCACCATTGGCTGCATTCATCTCCTTTCTGTCAGCCCATGGAGCGTCGTAGCCAATCACATAAACTTTTACAAGGATCCTGCCAGCAGTGTAGCTGCTACCACGAGCAATGGTAGTAATAAAACATCCAGTGAGAGGGCAGCTCATAAGGAGCGTGAGGGCCAGAAGGATGGTGGGAATCAGACTCGGATGAAGCAGCTATTGCAGGATCTGAGGAAGAATGGTTTAAATGTTAACCACCATACCACTGCCGGTGTTGGTGCATAAACTGATGGTTGCATCTGGTATTCGGGTGATGATATTATTTCTATGTGGATCAAGCCCTTGCTTTGTGTTGAAGAAGTCTAGCATGTCATATGGAGGCCACGAATAGTTTCCTCTAGGATTATATGTCTACTGTAGTGGATGCGATGGCTTCCCATGATGATAGATTGACACTCCTTAGCAGTAAGCGTGTGACAT